TGCTCTTGATCCTGAAAAATGGAAACAAGAAAAGAGATACGTAAGCTCAGATTATTTGAAACCATCACTTGTGACTAGTTTACATGTCACAATCTAATTGCCTCAGTCCCTCATTTGCATACTAATAGAAATAACACTGTTTAATTTTCATTAGTACATGTTTGTGATTCATAATGAATGCATTATTGTGGGGAATTCATACATATACATATTTCATCTTAGTACTTTTTACTTCCCCTTCCCCTCCCCTCTCCTTCCATCTCTATATCCTCTTCCCATATACAAAAGCAACAATATTTTTTAATCTTTTAATGTAATAAGGTTGAGCAAAGGTAATTCCAGAAAAAAGTCTTATTTTTTTCTTGCTAAAGCTTTCAACCATCTCTCTATGTGGTACCAGGGCAATTCCAAAGTCTGGCCTTTAGTTTTTAGCACAGGTAACAAACCCTACCCTTAGAAGTCAGAAAGTTGTGGGTCAAAACATGAGCCTCTCCTAGTCAGGGATACAGAGCTATGGAGAGAATGGAGCTAAAAAGCCTTCATGAGAAAAATCCATAACTTAGCAAATAAAATTTCTCAAAAATATCTCTGATACGTTCAGTGTTTCTCATACCTCCTAAAAATATAATCTAAAATCTGCCCTGCAAACATTTAGCAGATCTTGGCAGAATTCATAACTCAGGTTATAGCATTTCTTTGTACATGATGTATTAATATGTCAGTGATGGTGAAGATCATACGTTGTGGAGTTGGGCTGCCTGGCTTTTAATAGTACTAGACTGAGCACTTTGTGTGTGCTATCTGGACGCATGACTTCTAACTAAACATATATTTTTTTCAACCATAAAACACAATTGGGTTATTATGAAGACTGAAAGAATACAGAGATTATAAATGTGCCTGGTGCAGAACAAGCCTTCAATAGACGTTAATTATTCATATCTGGATTTTTAATTATTTACTATGTTGAACCCTAAAAATGCCTTGAGATCACATCGAAAAAGCTTAAATCTGTCCTCCTAGTTGAAACCTATAGATGGCGCTACCATCTCGTCTACAGTACCATAGTATTCTAATTTGTAGAAAGATACTGAGCATTTACCAGGAGCCCCTGAGTAGGGGGCCTGGTTAATAAGAACAAGAACCAGAGAAGCTGGTGATATAGCAGCAGGAAACTGAGCTGGTGAATTTAGGGAAATCATTTTCTGTTCTATCTTTGAGCCCCCTCTTGAACTGCTTTGTTTGAAATCTAACCTGTGTTTGACCAAATGGGTAGACTTGACTGTTTTCCCAAAAGGCTAGTGAATCTAAAATATTACTCTTGCTTTTCAGTACAACCAATACAACTTTCACCTTCCAGATTGGTGCTATAAGAGAGGCACATATGTCCCCAAATTTTTCTCACAAACATGAAATCTTCACTAGTTAGTTGCCTGACTGCAACAGTTACCTTTTGTACCCTTACTCAATGTAAATGTGTGTGTGTGTGTGTGTGTGTGTGTGTGTGTGGCCTTCTAGCATTTCTTACTACTATGGTTCTAGACAAAAATCTCAAAGTAGGTAATGACTTAAGATTCCAATGAACTAAAAAAAAAAAAAAACTGATTCTGAAACACTCTGGTAAATGAGACAATGCACTACACATTTTTATCTTTATTTCACATCAACTTATTTTTTAGACATGATTTTCGAATATAAATTTTACTATGTTTTTCTATAAACCATAAATATTTTCCTCATTGATCTTCTGTACTGTATAAGAAACTTTGTAAGACTAGAGGAAGATACTTTCTGCGTATAAATATCATGTAGTAATATGGCAAGTAGTGTAGTTTGGGAAACTAATTATATAAGGTACCTCATATGTAATTTGGGGAAAAGATAATGGACATTAAGAAGAGGATGAGATAAACATTGTAATGAATCAGCTATAAAGAAGAAATATAATATAAAAGTTGGAGACTGATGAGAATTACAAGATAGTAAATTGAAGTAAGATTTTGCAAGGAGCACTGCTGTGAAACTACATAAAATAGTAGTGTACAGTAGGGCACTAATGTTCAATGCAGACTAAGCCTGATTCTTTTGGCAGTGCTCCCTAGCTCTGATTTATTTTTTTTCACAGAAGAATGTCATCATAGTATCATTGTATGACTTGACAAGAAGAAGGAAGGTGCAAATTTTAAGCACTGTAGCTGTTATCATTTGCAAAATTACATGGCTTTTTAAAAACTTCAAGATTAAACTTGTAGAAACCCTGCTATTAATATTTGTACAACTTAATAACCGATGGTTATGGTTTATCAGAATGAAAATATAGTTGAGGCAAGAGGATCATGTGAGGTCAAGGCCAGCTTTGGCTACATAGTGCTTTCAATGTCAGCCTGAACTGCACAGCAAGACCCCATCTCAAAAAATAAAAAACCAAAATAAAATAAAAAGAATAGGAATAGGTATCTTCAGTGAATTCATTTTAAAAGTTTATAAAGATTTAATTAGTCAATTATAAATGATTGGAAATATTCTGCATGGTATGGAAATAGAAATACTAAATCACACATTTAGAGGACCAAATATTAGTAAAATCTATGAAGGCACAGATGAGACACAGCAGTTGCCAGTTTGTTGCCTCTTAGATCCAAATCTGCCCTTCTCTTACCTACTTTGCCATACAGGAGCAGGACCCTGTAAACATTTCTTCATTGCCAGTTATCCTTGTTTATGTAGGGCATTGGAGTGACAGTCAATCAGACAATGGGGCTTCTCTTTCTAGTCTTATGGTGGTTTATTTTCCTCCTTCCAGTGACATGAGGGAGATCTTACAAAATTCACCCTTTGGTAAGTTTTTCTAGCACCCCAGTAAGCAGTTTCTTGAGGAAAAATTCTAGCTCGCCAAGACCCCTGCATTTTTCTCTGTCATCCAACAGACTGGGCTACAGCTACTCTCTCCAGCAAGGTCTGATTCTCAGTGTTATGTGGTGGATACTCTCCTAATTCTTAGTTTCCCTCTTTCATATTGTCTTCCTTAATCCTAGAGGTGGTAGTCGCTTCCTGTGTTTGCTGTTTCTGTATTCAATAGCATCCTCTTTTATCCTCTGAAACCAGTTTTACTATTCAATAATTAGGTATATTACATTTTCTCTGCTCAAATTACTGCTGTAGTTTCTCACACCCAACTAAACCCTCAGTAATGCACAAGAAAGGAGGAAAAGGTTAAGGGGCCATTGAATCAGATTTTCTCAATCTCCTTGCCCCAAATGAAGCCTGACATAACTTCAGATCTCAAGGAAACCCTGTACAACATATTGGATCTATATCTTAAGTTATCAGTAAGTTGTAGGTAATAATAATCAATCCTCTGTTTAATAGAGAATGATTTGTTTTTATAGGTCTACTTTTTAGGTGACTTACTGGTACACTTTTTCTGTGATCCTTTCTACAAGGACAATTCTCATGTAAATCACTAGGGGAGAGAGAGAGAAAACTATTTTAGTTTTTCCTTTGTTTAAGTATCCTTTACATTTTAACCTTATTTGAATAGGTCTAAGTCTTGTAATAAGTTTTCACTGTGTAAGATGCTAATGAGGGATTATGTGGGATATTTCATAGGCAAGAATAGCTAAGATGAAACCCATGTTGAGAATGGCAGAGCCCTGAACTATTATCTCAAGAAAGAGATGTAAACTTTTTCATATTTAACACATGATATTTTGGGTCTCTGTGTCTGAATCAATCAGGCTAGACCTAATTAATATATTAGCACTTGGCTTTCATATGGTCTAGGTGTATAGTTTTTTTAAAAAATCATTCTCCTATGTACATCATTGTCCTAAACAAAATCAAAGTTTTTATTGAAAAGGAAAGTACCGATGGTGTATTACTTACTTTTCTTTTCACTGAGATACAATACCTGACACCCACAACTTCGAGGAAGGAAGATTTATTCTGGCTAACAGTTTGTAGAGGCTTCAGTCCATAGTTGGCTGGCTCTAAAGAGGGCAGCATGGCAGAGAGCAGTATGGCAGAGGAGGCTTAGTCATGGCATGACAGGCAGGAAACAGGGAGATCAAAGGAGGAGGAATTGAATGAGGAGTACTCAATTAACTACATACTTAGCCCTTTAAAATTAAAACAAATTTTAAGATAGGGTTTTGTTATGTTGTCCCTGCTAGATTTGAATGAACTTGTGATCCTCCTGCCTCAGTAGCTGTAATTATGGGCATGAGCCACCAACATATGGTTGAAAAAGTGATTCTTAAACTGAAAGTTCTCATTAGATGCCTTTGGAAGCTAAATGAATAAATAAAAGTGTACATCCAGATCAACTGTAATGACAAAATAAATATAGTAATTAAAAAGCAGTTTAAAAATAGAAGCTGGATTATAAAGTGTTAAAGAAAAAGTATACATTAGGTGTAAAATATGTATAAGCAGTTTGGAAGAGTGTTCCTTCTAGTTTGGGGGAATTTTATAGATATTAGTTATCATAACAGTATATGTATATTTTTTCAGCAATGCTCAAAATTTGTGGTAAGCTTGGGTAAGAATATAGAGGTTTTTTAAATGTGTTCTGCAAACATATCTCTCCACTGTTAGTATCAGAAAGGTACCTTGTCCTTGCATTCTGAAAATTCATATTCCTTTGTCCTGAGAGGAACCACCTGTATCTTTCAAGCTGCCTGAACACTTCACTCATTCATTCATTCTACAGATGGTTATGTTGTTCTCATAGAATAAATTCTGCTCTTGGCACTTGGGATACATAAACATAATAAACCTCTCTGACTCTGGTCAGCTTATATTCTACCCAGAGGTGTCAAATAATAAAAATAAACAATAGATTAGTTAACTGTATACTATATATGAGCATTATAAATTCAAGAATTAAAAAATTTTTACATAAGAAAATCAACATAAGGGGAACCAAGAAAAAGCACTTAAAAGTGTGGTAAAGGGAGACTATGATTATAAAAAGAGAAGTCAGGACAGGTTTTGCTGAGATGACATTGGAACAAACAGTTGAAAGAGGTGAGAGAATTCCATGTCCCTAAGGCAGGAGCCTTCAAGCAGAAGAGCTAGAGTGAAGGCTTCGGTCGAGAGGCATGCCTGGGATATTTAGAAATGACCAGGGAGGCCAATGGACTGACACCAAGGAAGACTTCACATGGGAGATGATACTTCAGGTTGATTTTGAAGAATGTGTTTTTTAGTTAATCAAAAGAGCCAGCTCTCTGCTTCCTGGCCAGTGTGACTTAGGAAGCTTTCATCCACTAGGCCCTGCTGTCCTGCCATTTCTACCTTGGAATCAACAGAGTGTGGACTGTAACTGTGAGCCAAAGTACATGTCTCCTCCTTCAACTTGTGGGTGTTTAGATATTGTGTCCCAGCCAAGAGAAAGGGACTAACTACATAACCAGCCAAATTTTTGCCCAGGCTGAGCTTGATCCTTTTGTCTCAGCCTAACAACATGCTTGGATTATAGGGATAGCCACCAAAAGACTAGTCTTTTGACTGGAAAATGCACATAACTTCCTCCCAAAATGAAGTGAAGTTCTACTTAGTGACATCTCAAGCATTATCATGAAGTGATATGAGCAATCAAAGAAAGGGAGCTAGGGATTTAGCTCAGAGGTGCTGCCACATGCCTTGCAAATGCAAGGTCCCAAGTTTGATCCATTGGGGCGGCGGAGAAAAGAGAGATGGGTGGGGGGAGAAGTCCTGGGAGCATTGGTGAGGACCAGAGTAGCACAGGAAGATCCCAGCAAGGCAGATCCCAGACAAGGCACTGCCCCAAATCCAGAGGCTCAGACACATAGGCCCAAATCAAAGGCCTGCCCAGAAAATAGCTGCACAGGCATACAAGCTTCAGCCAGAGACTTGCCCCATAGCATCGGTAAGTGTGCACAGATCCTGGTGAGTAGCACTGTGCACCAGAGCAGTGCAGCTGCAGGCAGATCCCAGCCAGAGCCCTGCCCCAATCCCAGTGGCTTGGGCACACAGGCCACAGCCAAGGGCCCACCTGGAAAAGAGCTGCAGAGGCATGCAAGCAACAGCCAGAGGCTTGCCCAGATACCATTGATAAGTGCATGGAGACCCTAGCCAGAGCCTGTTCAGACAACAGGAATTGGGGTGCACAGCACCCAACCAAAGGCTCTCACAGACAACAGGTACATAGGGGCCCAGACAGAGGCACACCTAGACACCATCCCAATTATACACAGGCCCTAGATAGTAGGTCAGCTCTGGGATCCAGGAGGCCACAACTCTGAACCCAGAAATTGGTGTACTGGTGAGCAGCAGACAAAAGACTGCTTGGTGGTCTGCTGAGAATTGAAGACCATTAGGTGAACAAAAAGCTGCCTCAACAAAGGTGCAGCAGGCTGCATCTGTTGAAATGAGAAGACATGTAAACAAGTCTAAACACCAGACTTCCAGATCATCTAAGGCAACCACAAAGGGAAACAAGATGGAACAATCTGACAATTGCCTGGACTGTCTGAACTGGCAACAAAAGAAGATCTGGAAAAAATGAAATCAGAAATAAATTCTCAGATAACAGCAGAGATTGTGCCCATAGTGTAAGACATGATTAATAAATCTAGAGGAGACACAGATTTAAAAACAGTAGAATAGCTGAGGAAGATGATGGAATCCCAACATAGAAAACAAATGGAGTCCATAAAACAAGTGCAAACAGATTTCCAGGAGAGTAAAACTTCATTGAAAGTTTACTTAGCAGAATGAGCCAATGCAAGGACAGAATTTCAGATATAAAAATAGGATTGCAATTAGTGACCAGGAAGAGAAAATTTTCTTAAAAATAGGAAAAGACCATGAGAAATCAATTCAGCAGCTGGTAGACAATGTAAAGAAGAATACAGTAAGACTGATTGCAGTTAATGAAGAAACAGGAGAGCATTCTGACAACATTTTTAAAAAGTTCATAGAAGTAATGGCAGAAAACTTCCCAAGTTTTCTTTCCCAAGGGGAAAAGAAATTGACATACAGATAAGTGAGGAATATATGACTCCAACTAGCCATGATAAAAAAAAATCCACACATATGTATATAATAGTTAAGATTCCAGAAACCCAACAGAAGACCAAAATTCAACAAGCAGTTAGAGAAAAGAAACAATTCACACACAAAGGAAAGCCCATCAGAATCACAGCAGACTTTTCAATGCAAACCCTCAAGGAAAGAAGAGCTTACAGTGATGTATTTCAAGCCCTAAAGGGAAACAACCTCCAACTCAGACTGATGTACCCTGCACAATTATCTTTCAAAATTGATGGAGAAATAAGACACTTTTGTGACAAAGAGCACCTTAGGAACTTCATAAATACAAAACCAGCACTCGAAAAATTTTTGAACAATATCCTAGGAAAAGACAATGAAGATTACAATCCCAGAAGCCCAGTGGAATTAATCCATCAGGCATGACAAGTAATTAAACAGAAAGGGGTAAAACCCAACAAAAAGAAAAAGTCATGATAAGGATAAGTCAATACATATCAGTTATAACTATCAATGTTAATGGTCTCAATTCACCAATCAAAAGAAATAGACTGGCAGAATGGGTCAAGAAGCAAGATCCAACAATATACTGTATACAAGAGACACAATTAATTCAAATAGACTGAAAGTTAAAGGTGGAAAACAATACTCCATGTGACAGGAACCCCCCAGAAAAGCAGGAGTAGCTTTCCTGGTTGCAGATCAAATGGATTTCAAAGCAACACTGAGAGAGACAAAGAAGGGGATGTGGGAGGGCAGTTCCTGGAAATGGAAGTGAGCAGTGGGGCCAGCTGATGGTAACTGAAGTCTGTTCACAGACTGAGCTGAAGATGAAAGAACCTGGAAAGATGATGATAACAGTAGAACCCAGAGATCAGAATTCCTGCTTTCTTGGTGCATAGAAGAAACCATTTTTGTCTCATTATAATAAAGGATCCTGGCAGGAGGAGGATGCTCATAATACCAGAGGACTTGGATCTAGCCTAAAGGACCGTATTCCAGTTATTGAACTTTCAGCAAGAGGGCCTTTTGAAAGCCATGATCTTCTGTGGAAAGGTTTTTCTTATGTGAAAAATGAACTGTTACCAAGCCATGCTCAAATTATCAGAAAAAAAAAAACAAGAAAAAATGAATTTTCCCACACCAAGGAACATCCAGGGTCTCTTTGCTCCTCTAAAATTACAAATGGAATTCAAAGCAGTACAACAGGTTCAGTGTCTTCCACTTTTTTCAAGTTTAAACCTTTCATTGGATGTTTTGAGGAGTAATGATGAGACTATTGGGTTTGAAGACATTCTCAATGATCCATCACAAAGTGAACTCATGGGGGAACCACATTTCATGGTGGAATATAAACTGGTTTACTGTGATACACGTGCTGTTCATGAACGAGAGGGGCTGCATCTTGTGGCAGTTGTCTTTTCTTATAATTTGATGTACATGACATTAAAAGTACTGACACAGGAAAAAAGAGTGAGAGACAAAGAAGGACACTGCATCCTGTAAAAAGAACAATCCAAGAGGAAGAGATGACAATTATAAATATATATGCACCAAATACTAGTGCACCCAACTATATAAAACAAATACTAACAGACATGAAAAATCAAATGAGCACTAATACAATAGTAGTGGGGGACCTAAATACCCCACTGCAACAAATAGATCAAATAGACACAAAATCAATAACAAAACACTAGAATTCAATCACATTGTTGAACAAATAAACTTACAGATATTTACAGTGTTCCACCTCACAAAATCAGAATACACATTCTTTTCAGCTGCACATAGATCATTCTCCAAAATAGACCACATACTCTCATAGAACATGTTTAAGTAAGTGTAAAGGAATTGAAGTTATCCCCTGTATATTACCAGACCACAGTGCAATGAAATTGGAGATCAGTAGCAAAAGAAACCACAAAAATTTCATAAACACATGGAAAATAAACCACACACTTCTGAATAATCAATGGGTCACAGAGGAAATTAAAGAAGAAATCAGACAATTCCTACAATTAAATTACAGTAACAATACAACATCTCGGAATCTATGAGACACAGTGAAAGCAGTCTTATAAGGGAAATTCATAGCAGTGAATACTCATATTAAGAAAACAGAGCAAGCTCAATTAAACAACCTGATGCTGAACCTCAACCTTCCAGAAAAAGAAGAGCAGGACAAACCCAAAGCTCCTACAAGGGAGGAAATTATAATGATCAGAGCAGAAATCAATGCAATGGAGACTAAGTGAATGATACCAAAAAAAAAAAAATCAATAAAGCCAAGTGTTGGTTCTTTGAAAGAATAAATAAAATTGACAAACCCTTAGCCAACCTCATTAAAAAAAAGGAAAGAAAAGGCCCAAATCCATGCAATTAGGAATGAAAAGGATGAAATTACAATGGACCCAGGAGAAATGCAAAGGATCATCAATACGTACTTTGAGAAATGATACACCAATAATAAGATGAAAAATACAGAAGAAATCAACAGATTCCTAGATACATATGATTTACCAAAATTGAATGAAGAAAACCTAAAAATTCTAAACAACCCAATATCAATGAACAAAATTGGAAATATAATTAAAAACTTACCAACTATGAAAAGTGCAGGTCCTCATGGCTTTACTACTGAATTCTACAGGACATTTGGAGAAGAATTATTGCCATGCTGTTTAAACTCTTCAGTGAAATAAAAAAGGAAGCAATACTCCCAAATTCATTCCTGGAAACAAGCATCATGTTGCTCCCTAAAGCAGAGAAAGACCCAAATGAAAAACAGACCTATAAGCCAATTTCATTAATGAACATGCATGTAAAAATCCTTAGTAAGATATTAGCAAATAGAATACAGAAGATCAGAAGATCATGCACCTTGACGAAGTGGGGGATTGATCCCAGGGATGCAGGGATGGTTCAATGTATGCAAATCAATAAATGTAATACACTATATTAATAGAGCCAAGAACAAAAACCATATGATCATCTCAATAGATGCAGAAAAGGCATTGACAAAATCCAACATGAATTCATGATAAAAACTCTACCAAAAATTGGAAAATATGGTGTCTACCTCAATCTCATAAAAGCTAACAGCCAATATCATACTAAATGGTCAAAAACTAAAATCCTTCACACTAAAATCAGGAACAAGACAAAGATGTCCACTATCACCACTCATGTTCATTATAGTTTTGGAAACATTAGCCACAGCAATTAGACAAGAGAAATAAGTAAAAGAAATAAAGATAGGAAATAAAGAAGTCAAATTGTCATTATTTGCAGATGGCATGATACTCTATATAGAATACCCCAAGAACTGCATCAAAAGTCTTCTAGACTTAAAAACCAAATTCAGTAAAGTACCTAGGTACAATGTCAAGACACAAAAATCAATATCTTTCCTGTACAAGAACAACAGACTCACTGACAGAGAAATGGGACAAATAATTCCTTGCACAATAGCATCCAAAATATTGAAACACCTACAAATCAACCTAATAAAAGAAATCAAAGGCCTCTACGTTGAAAATTATAGCACCCTGAAAAAAGAGATTGAAGATGATATCAGAAAGTGGAGAGATATTCCTTGCTCCTGGGTAGGAAGAATCAACATAGTGAAAATGGCCATACTTCCAAAACTGCTATATAGATTCAATGCAATCCCAATTGAAATTCCAGCAGCATACTTCATGGACCTTGATGAAACAATCCAAAAATTCATTTTGAATAAGAGACCTGAAATACCAAAGCAATTCTAGGCAATAAAGACAAGGTAGGGGGTATCACAATCTCCAATTTGAAACTATACTACAAAGATACTGTGATAAAAATAGCATGGTCTTGGCAAAGAAACATACATGAGGACCAGTGGAACAGATTAGAAGATGCAGAAACAACTCCAGACACATTCAGCCACCTCATCTTCAACAAAGGAGCCCAAACACTCACTGGAGGAAAGATAACCTCTTTAATGAATGGTGCTGAAAAAACTGGGTTTCAACTTGCAAAAGATTAAAACTAGACCTATATCTCTCACCATGCACTAAACTAAAATCAAAATGCATTAAAGATCTAAATATTAAAACAGAAACACTAAACTGGCTGGAAGGTAGGTTAGATAGAACTCTTGAAGACATTGGTGTAGGAAGAGATTTTATGAACAAAACCTCAGTTGCTTTTGAACTAGCACAGACTCAGCAAGTGGAATTTCTTCTTATTAAAAATCTTCTGAACAGCATGAGAAACCACCAATAGTGTGAAGAGACAATCCACACTGTAGGAAAACAATTTTCAGTAGCTGTTCATCAGACAAAGGTCTACTATCTAGAATATATAAAGAACTTTTTAAAAAATCAGACCTCCCAAATTTAAAGGCCCAATCCAAAAATGGGCATTTGAAATGAACATTTTTTCAGACAAAGAAGTAGAAATAGCAAATAAACACATGAAAAAATGTTGAACATCGCTTGTCATTCAAGAGATGCAAATGAAAACAATGCTGAGATTCCCCCTCACCCCGGAAAGAAAGGTTGCTATCATGAAATCAACCAATAACAAATGCTGGCAGGGCTGGGGGGTAAAGTAACACTGCTCCACTGCTGGTCGGAATGCAAACCACTGTGGAAATCAGTATGGAGATACTTCAAAGAACTAGGATTGGAAGTCCCATTTGACCCAGCTATTCCCCTGCTGGGTATCTTCCCAAAAGAATTAAAAGAATCATACCACAGTGATATATGTGCACCCACTCTCACTGCAGCACAGTTTGTAATAGGTAAAACTTGGAATTAACCCAATTGCCCTTCATCTGGAGACTGGAAAAAGAAAATGTGGGTTTTAATAAAATGGAGCATGACTCAGCCATGAAAAATGAGAAATTAGAGCAAATACCTAATCATTTCTCTAGTGTGAGAAGCTGAAAGTGTAAATAAGGACTAAAAAGTATAATATAGTAAATAGTGTGAAATAGGAAGAAAAGGGGCAAATGGGAAGGGGAAATGGGCAGGCTAGGTGAAAAGAAAGAAGGGAATGGAATTAATATGAGAAAATGAAAAAATGGAATCAAAGTCTTTGTAAATAGGGAAGGATGGAGGGGTTGAAGTAAAGGAAGAGGAATAGGGGAAAGAATAAGAACCAAGATAGATTATAAAGGTGCAAATTTGCAATGATGAATGTCATCATAATGTATACCTAAAATGTATCAATATTATTAATTTTTAAAATTTTAATGTAGAAAAAGAGCCAGCAATTCCAGGAAGTAAAAGCTGTCTGTCTGTCTGTCTGCCTAGCTATCTAAACATGTCAACTTAGGAAAACAATATTAAAAGTACAATAATCTGAAAGAACACTGGCTTTTTCAGGAAATGCATGTTGGGAACAGGGAAAAGGCATGTACCGGAACTCCTACAGTGAGTCCTGGTTTTCTGTGAGCCATGTCAGCACAAGGCAAATTAATTAACAAAGACAGGAAATGAGACTTAGAGACGAAGCTGAGCTTTGGGCCTAATCAATGCTGCTCTGGGCAGTAAAGACAAAAGACCCTGCCTGAGCTTGCCACACTTGATTAGGTACATGGGGCGTAACAGATGATTTAGAGGGCAGAGGTGATAATCCTAGAACAATGAGGAATTTACGCAGATGAAAATCCTAGTCTAAGGAGGAATTTACGTTGGTTGGGAATTTGTCCCTCCCCAGGATGTCTTCAGGTGATGTCATCCTGCCCTAGAGCATCACAGCACCAGGACCTTTGAGGTTTTAGCTGGGACCACAGCCAAAAATGGAGTCAGGTCTCAACATGGCATAGCCGGCCTTTAGGCAGGAAAACTAGGCTTGCTTATAATTTAATTGTGAAATCATTTTTCCCCAAAATTATGTAGAATTGTTCCCAACACGTGTAGGGGGTCAGTGTGGCTTGATTTTATGCATTCAAAGAAGAACAGCAGGGAATAAGCTCCAAGAGATAAGCAGAGGCCAGAACTCCATGGACCTTGTCAATTGGGCAGAGTTTGGATCTTATCCATGTAGTGAGCTCATGATTTTCTATTCAGTATCCATTTTGCCCTACCTCCGCTGCACAGCATCTAAGTGGTGTAGAAAGACTTCTTACTCCCTGGGCTCTGGGAGTGGGTCCTCAAGAGCTAAACTGTTTTCACAATCTCAGGCTCCTGCCTGTGATTGGCTCAATATCTCAGACCTAAACCAATCCACAGATGCCATTTTCTTATCTAGGGATGGGTTCAGAATTTTACACATGATAAAATAAGAGTTAATAAAATGTATATGTATCTTAAAACATTATGCTATACATCTTAAATATAAGTGATTTTATTTGCAAGTTATATTCAAGAAAAAATAAAGTAAGGGCTGGGGATTTAACTCAGCAGTTCTGCCACCTGCCTCACAAGAGCAAGGACCTGAATTCAATCCCTGGTACCAAAAAAATAAAAAACCAAAAAATAAAATAAAATGTAGGAAGTTTTCTAGTGGCTCCAGAGTAAAGTTTTCTCACTTCTCAAAAGGAACAAAAAGAGGAAACCAGAAGCTCAACGGGGGAGGGAGCTGGGGGGCGCGGGCAAGACCTCCGCGATTCGCTGCTGCAGAAGGAAGCCAGAGGGCGGCCGGTG